AAACAGACAGATCTGGATTGAAATCTGATTGTTGTGGTTACTTTCTCTGTGATCTTAGGCAACCACTTACCATCTCTGAGACCAGGTTACAAATAGGCAAAATAATGTTGACATAGAAAACATATATATGAAAACCTACATAGTATGTGACACACAACAGGAATTTTTGAATACTTGTACCTGACAGCTTTATTCTCTTTCCCAGCTCCCTTGTCCTCTAATGAGTTGGTCATTCTCATTTCACCTTCTCCATCCAGGATAAGTCCATTTCAACCAGACATTCATTCATCAACCATACCCCATCCAGAGTACTGCCAAGCAGAGAGGACCATGTCTGCTAAACTCCATTGGAGGAGATCATTACACTATTAAGATGATCACCCTTATAAATGAACCAGGTTTCTCTAGCTACCAGGTAATTGGCCAGGCTTCAGTTGGATCTCTTTGGCTACTCTTCATCCTAACTGCACACTCCTTCCCAGGTGCTCACCCCACCTCTGTGTCAGCAGCTGAATTAATTCAGTGCCCTTGCCTTCCTTACATCTCCTATGTACATTTTCTATTTGCAGGGGTTCTCAAAAGCCACTATCTGGCAAGTGCAAGCATGGCTACTCTAGGAGGATATGATTAATGCTAAAAAAAATGTATCAGTCAAGACTTGACCTCAGTGTGAAAATCTTTAGCACCAGCAGGGGGGATCTAGATTTGTTCAAAACTCCTGAGGTCATTTGGAAACCTAGCTATATTAGGAAGTCACCACCTAGAGGGTTGTGGACACCTTTTGCACATAACCTCTGGTTGCTGTTTTCCACTGTTCGATATTCATGTGGCTGCCCGTATTTCTTCTCAGCAGTTGAACGTGTAGACTGCACTTTTCAGAGCTCTTCAGTGAGTTGTTAGAGCATCTTTCTTGCCTGTGGTCATCACACTTAATCTCTCCTTGCTGGAACTGTTAACACACTCCCACTGGTGGCTTGCTAAGCTTGCGAGGAGCGAGAACAGCTCCTTTGCAGTGTCCTGGCTGTGCTCCAAGATTTCATTCATGGTCATTTTGTTTGACCATTGAATGCAAACTGTAGCTCAGAGATGATACTGGTGGAAGGGATTAAGAAACCAGAAGTGTAATCTCAAGAAACGGAAGTCTCAGAATTGTAAAACAGTTTGGACATCAACAGTGTTCTGTAAAACTTTTAACTTGCTTAGTATGGTTGCCGAAGATCACAACGTTTAACATTCCAAAGAAAACAAGGATGCTTAATCTTCCTAATATTTTCGTCTATTACTATGTAACATACATAATTTATAGCGAATTTCTTTGGCATCAGTTAAGTTTTAGCAGCTTCTGAAAGCTTAAAATGTTACCAATAAAAGCAAACATTTCAGTGACAATAGTAAAATGACAGAAACCAAACATGTGGTTAACAGATTAGCAAACAACAGTGTATATTTGTGTAGTATTTTATGCAATGTATATTTTATGTATACTTATATTTATATGTAAGTATATATTAAATATAACATTTAAGGAGAATTTAGCTACCTTTCAGTATACAGCCCACAGTGGAATCTCAGTGGAATTATAATATTTAGTGGTGGATTCATGGAACTAGTGGATTGAGAAATTAGAAAATGATAAAAAGTTAGAAGAGATTAATCATCTCAATTCTACCACTCTCTGAGGCCATGAGGAAGTCAGTGGGCATTTCTAAGCCTTACTTTTCTCATCTTTAAAGTGTTCTTTCAGGAGGCTATCCAAAGGATTAAATGCAATATATAGTAAATTTTAATACACTATAGGTATTATCATTGTTCTTGTTAAGGTCAGATGCCATTATAAAATTTTGAAATATCATCTAAACTGTCTAAAAAGCAGTGGCACATGGCACTTCAGCTAGCTTATAAGAATAAGCATATGAAGATTTTTGGAAGAATATCGCTAATAGTCTCTTAAATCTTTTGATAAAAATGAAGTGCATTGTATTAATTTCTTCATCTCTGGAAACTGGCGATGGATAGTCACGGTTCATGTTTCTCCAATAACCACAGCGTGTGTCAGTCAGATATTGTTCTTCATAGTGCCAGTTTTTTTTCTTTATTAAATAAGGACCAGTTTTGATAGCTTCCCTAGCATACTGGACATGCAAAGTGTGAGTCTGCGATCTCATTTTTATGTGTGATTATCAAGATCAATGACAGCTCCAAGTTCTGAGCTCTTGCGTGCGAACAGGCGTGGTGCAAAGCACTGTCCATGTCGCCCTGTCCGGCCTCCCAACCACGACGTAGTTAATGTTACCTTTATTTTCCGATGAGAAAATGAAAGCGCAAAGTATTCACATAACCTTGCCTAAACCCATCATCTGCAAGACAGTTTGAGATCTTGAGGCCAGGCAGTCTGACTCCAGAACCAAGCCACAGCCCTTTAGAACTGAACCTCTCACTGAGGTCGCGCAGTCTCCTGCCTGTCTACACAAGGTTCCTGGAATGCAGCTCCTCTGAGCTGAGTGCTGGGGGCCCGACTTGGCAATCTTGAATGCGAATAGAAACGATTTAAGCAAGACCCTCCAGGGGTCTTTGGAAGCACTTTCTAAATAGATATACCCTCAACCACAGCCCTGTAGAAGTGAACTAGACAACTGTTGTTTTCTCATATTCGAAAGTCAGAGATATAAAAGAAAAATAGCCCATCGAAGAGAGTTTTAAATATGTTTCCAGCAAGAATAACTTGTTCCCATCAGTGTGGAATCATGATGAGTAAAACTGATTTTTAAAATGGCATGCAGTTTTATTTGAATTTTGCATGTGCAGTTTGTGTGCTTTTCTTTTTTTTAACTTGCTTGATCTTGTAAATACTGTGAATAATTACAGGTTCTCCTAAATTCCTATTAAAACATCAAGGAAATTCATGCATCTGCTGAACATATAATCAAAATTATGCATTGAATTAACTAAAGTGTCAGAAACTAGAAAATTTGATATCATTTAGTTTGTATGGCTATTCCTCACTGTGACACTCCAGGGATAAAGCAAATTATGTCTTAAACTCTTCAGGTGCCCAATTGCTTTCTCCTCATTGTATTATCATGTCCTTATGAGAAATAAAACTTTCTCACTTAAAATGAGGTTTAAGTGAAAGTAAAGTCAAAGTTATTGGTACATATTAAACATTTTTTAGCCGAGTGTGGGAGTAGCTTATATCTGCAATCATAGCTACTCTAGAGGCTGAGGTCTGAGGATTGCAAATTACAGTGAAGCTTGGCAGCATAGCAAGACCCTACCTCAAAATTTAAAAAATAAATAAAGGAAAAGGACTAGATGTAGCTCAGTGGTAGAGCCCTGGCCTTACATGCACAAGATTTTGGTTCAATCCCCAATAGAAAGAAGAAAGGGAAAGAGGATTCTTTATTGAGCATATTTTTTAAAAGTAGAAGATTCTTTGAAAACAGCTGTGTTCCAAAGAATAAATAGCCCAGGGTAAATAAAAACATGCTTACCAAATCATGTATTTTATATGCAGTCATAGGGACATTAGCTTGTACACACACACACACACACACACACACACACACACAGAATAACCTCTACGTATGAATGAATTGATTTCATGGAGTTTATTTGCAAGCAGCTTTTAAGCACCAGTAACAGCTTCCCAGAGGAGTAGCATTATGTTACCATCCCAGTGCAGTAGGTTATTTATCTCACAGTTTCCACCACTTTAAATATCGCTTCTCTGAGATCACTTTCCTCAAATTCCTGTCCAGACATCACAGTCAAACCTCTGTACCACAAAGCCTAGGAGAAAGTGCATCACCACCTCCACAGTAACCAGTGTTTTCAGTGGAATTCATCCCACCAACCAGGACAGCTACCTTAACCAGTGATATCTCTGATTTAGGATAATGATGTAGACATTAAGATGTTATGTTTATATTTTCAAAATCATGACTACATTATTTTTTTCCTGAATTTTCAAATCTAGGACATTCAGTACAGTTTTGGTTAACATTATAGAAATCAGCAAAGTGTCCATTAGTGGTGAAAAACATAAAGTTTATTGAAAATAGAAGCTACTGACCACAAAGTGCATGCTGTTGAAGACATCCACTTAAGTTTCACTGGTGAACTCATGGCTTTCTGGCTGCCCACACACACTAGTCACTGAGAAATATAATGTATAGTAAGCATTGTTTGCCAGTGGTCACAGTTACTGGAATTATAAACTTCTTCAGATTCAGGCATTAGTATAGAAAGAAAGCAATAACTGCACTGTTGAAAACTGGTATGTGAAATGTTGAAAAATACACACTTTCTAAACAGTAGCTGTGTTCTTTAGAAGTGTGCTAACTTGCAAGAAATTATTTTCTTGTTGGTGTCTTCTCTTTGATTGGGCTGGGATGCTACAATAAATTATCATGGACTTGGGGAATAAATAATAGACGTGCATCTCCTAGTTCTGAAGCTGAGAAGTTTATGAAGAAGTGCTAGCAGCTTCATTTTCTGTGCAGGTCTTGGCTCACAGGTGGCTTTCTTCTTGCTGTGAGTTTGTGGTGGGGAATGAAAGCTTTGGTCTTTGTCCCTCATCCCCTAAGTGCCTAACTCCATCACAGCGGTCTCTCCTTCAAGATCTCCTCTCGCCTTACTTACCTGGGGAAGTCTCCACTTACAGATACCATTGTGTTGAGGTTTGGCACTCCAATAAATTAACTTTGGAGGAACATGAACATTCTATCCATAACGATTTCAAATTGAAAAATGAGCTTGCGTTCTTTCCACGTGATATTTCTAACTTTCTAAACTTGCAAAGCCATGGAAAATCTGTGCATTCTCTAACGGTTTATAGTCCTGGACACTCTCTACCGTGTTCCTATTTGCCAGCCATGATAAGTAGGAATGGTGTCGTCTGTCAGGCTTTGGGAGATAGTTGTGACTCTGTATCTGAGACTGAATTTCCACTCTTTATCAAGGGTTCGATGTTGAAATACTCTTCAAATTCTCTCTTTCAGGATGGAGAACCTAATAAGGGGAAGGAATCCCCCACAATACCAGAGAAGTCCTTGTAAAGAGGTTCGTGCAGCACTTCGGAAGAGGCCTGAAGAGGAGTGTAAGTATGTTTAATAGGATTAATTGTGTTCTAGATAGATTTTGGTGAGTAGCATAGGGAAATGGAAGGGCTAAATATGTGGACAAAAAAGAAAGCCATTGAATAAGGTGATTTACTAAAGCAAAGGACCATGTCTTCCATGCATGCAGGTATTGGGCACGTTGCTTGTCTAAGATATTCATTCCTGTCTTACCGTACCATCGTGACAGACATTTGGGCTTCCTGCTGAGGTTTGGATTGAAAGCGGCACAATCTATCAAAGGTCTTGTGCATACACCATGCCTATTAATGGTTCTGAGAAAATCCTGACCTAAAGAAGCTTTGTGAATATATTCAAAATTAACGCTTTTCAGTTTCCAGTTGACCACAGTTCTTTTTAACCTATTTTTAAAAAGTAAAAGATTCTTTGAAAACAACTGTGTTCCAAAGAATAAATACCCAAGGGTGAATATAAATATGTTTACCAAATTAAAGCCTTTGATTTAACTGAATATAGGCATAAGTTTTAAAAAAGGGATGCCATGCATAAATGGCAGCATAAAGTTGTTCTGGTCCAACCTCAAGTTATGAAATATCAGAATATGTTATTACCTGTAGAGATTTTATTTAAATGTTTATATTCTGTAGTGGATAACAGATTGTTGGGGACTTTTGACATAATACATTTTAAGTTTGTAAAATGATTCTTACTATTCATTTTCCTCATAGTATTTAACTATAATTATTTTAAAGAATTAAATCACATTCTACTGTGACAAAAAGTTTATCTGAATTTTGCCCTTTCATGAGAACTTTCAATTCTTATGGGCAAAGCTAATGTAGTAGATTCACTAAAGTATATAGTTTAGTAGACTCTTAAAATTATATTGGAGGGGCTGGGGATTTAGCTCAGTGGCAAAGCGCCTGCCTGGTAAGTGCAAGGTCGTGAGTTCGATTCCCGGTACCAGAGAAAAACCAAAAAAAAAAAAATTATATTGGCATTTTAATTAGTTGTACATTCACTTCTCTGGGTAAAGACCAAGTACATTACAGCAGGGCATACTCTTTGCAGATAAAGTACTTTTGTTTTGTCTTGCGTACTATATAATCAATAGATAACTTTATTGAGCTGATGCCTATGTCATTCAATAGAGTGTTTTCTATTAATTGACAGATTTGTATTTTCTAGTGCAAACAATATCCAATTAAAACTAAATTTTGTAGATAAAGATAGATTTTATGGTTATTTAAAACAAAAAGCATTTGTAATATGACAATTATTGCATAAAACATTTGTTTTCATTCTCTGCATTCTAGAGAAACATTGGAGTTTCTCCGCTGGTTTAACACAATCATTTGACTCTGGTATAGTACTATAGATTTTATTTAAATACTTAGAAAGGATGTTGGTGGATATATCTGCAGGTGATTCTCATAAAATTGCTACTTAGCTTAAACACAGTGGCCTTTGGGGGCTCTTGTACTGAGTTATGTAGGCCAACAGTTGACCAGCTGTTGTTTAGCGATGAACTCCAGGCTGATATCTATTTTCATAAATAAAATTGTATTGAAATATAGCTACCATATATTAATTTAGGTATGGTGTAGAGCTACTCTCGCAGTATAAATCTTGAATAATTATAAACCCCAGAACAAATGGTCCACAGAGACAAAATATTCACCTTCTTTTTATGGGACAGGAGCTCTGAAGTAGACCCCTCCAGACTGGAAGCAGCCTCAGCCCCAGAGAATTCTGGGGCTTCTAGAGCTGCATTCTTGCTAAGTGAAATCTCTTAAGAGAAAGGCCCAGTAATTTGTATGTTAAGAAGCCCTACCTGATTATGATGCAAGGTCAAGTTTGAAAATCACTGGTCTAAATCAAGTGATTGGCTGCAGATGATAAAGATCATTTATAGAGAATAATAATGATGACAAACATGTTTCATGTCAGGGCTTATTGTGCTCTAATGTGAGATACATACATTAAAGTACATGATATGTAACTTAAAATGTGAGTAACATAACTGTTGCTTGCATTATAAATCTTCAGTTGAAATGAGACAGCTGAACAGTTTTATTTTTCTCTGACAGTCTTCCTTATCCCTTGCTAGCATAATGACCAGTACTTCCTGTCATCTTACAAAACAGTACTAATTCCTGAGAAAAATCCACCAATGTTTCATAATAAAAGTACCATATAATACTACTTAAGACTATTAACTTCAGAGATGCACAAAAGGATTTAGTCACTAGTGTCTTAATGTGACCAGCTACAGGATGCTAGGCATTATTTTTTCAAACATATGACTCATTTTATTTACCTAAAAAAAGGGTAATGATTATTATATATGATTATTTTGAGAATTAAAGAAGATGTATACATATTCTTTTCTTTTTTCCCTTGGTATAGAACCTGGGACATACGTAGCAAGTTTTGCTTCATCTCTTTCTCTATCTCTCTTTTCTTCTTATCCCTGTCATCGCCAAGTAATCTGTTATTTGACAATAATACGGGGTGTCTTTGATAGCAGAAATGGAAATCCACAAAAATTATTATACCTATTTCGAGAAAAAATAATGCAAGGCAAGGTACAGGTTGTAAACAAATGCCATAAAGCTGGCCCTGCTGCAGTATTATATTGTAATTCATGATGGTCCTTTACCTGACACATGGCATAATTCTTTCCCTAGGATTCTACATATTTACTATAGGGCCTACCCTAAAACTTCTGCTCAACTCCTGTGGAAAGCTGCCATTTTGGAAAATCATCATAGAAAGTCACATGGTAGTAACTTCCTTTAATTAAAATTAAAAGGAGTAGTGGAAATTTGTTTATATTATAGGATACTTCAAATGAAAGGAGAACCCTCGTTCATCAGGAAATGTTTCATGTAGGAAGGCTTTGCTGAATAGTATAGTTTATACTGCTTTCCTTTACAATATATTCAATAGTAGAGTCAGTCTGAAGTCACCAGATACAGCTCTTAATTCCTTCACTGTTAATTGTATTTACTGTTAATTTTATTTAGCTGTGCTGCATCTCACGTAAAGAAAACTTCCAGTACAAATAATATGATTCTTATAAAAAGTAGACTTTTAAGCATGTTTAAATTATTCCTCATTAAAAATAAAGAAAATAAAGCCTTTCCCTCAAAACCACTGCCCCAGGCAGCTACAAGGCTCCATTCCTGTTCAAGTCCTAGGTCAGTCTCTAGAAGAGCCATCTCTGCTTGCCGCGGCATTTAGTTACTTCCCACTCGCTGAGTTGCACTGCCCAGTCTGGCTCCTGCTCTGTCAGTCTCCTGAAGCAGCATTCACTTATATCAACAACAATACCTGTATGTTAGTCTAATATTTTCCACCATTATGTAGCAATCCACATTGAACTTAGTAGCTTAGACTACCACCATTGATTGTCTCACAATCTCTGTGGGTCAGAATTCCAAGCATGAAGTCCAGGCTCTGGTTCTCTGCTTTTGGGTCTCATCAGGTTAGTGTCTCACAAAAAACTCAAGTAGGGAAGAATCTATTTGCAAATCCATGCAAGCTCTTGGCAGAATATACTTCTTCGTGGTTATATGACTGACTGCCTCCTCTTTCTGCTGACCATCAGCTAGAGCTTACATTAATTTCCACAGGTGTTCTGTGGTTCCTTGTGTCATGAGCATTCTAAACAGGCCGCTTACTCTCCCTCTTTTCAGAGAGAACCCTTAAAACACTTTCATCTAACTAAGCCAGAATCACCCAAGATAATTTCAGTTTGGATTAATTCAAAATCAACACATTTGGGACTATGACACCATCACTTTTGCAATGTTCTATTGAGTAGAAGTCAGTTTTGCAGTGCACATCCAAGGAGAGCGAGTTCTGCAGAGCTGAAACAGGAGATGTTGAAAACAACCACAGATCCTGTCTTAGAGTTCTACCTGCTATACAAAACTCAGCAAGCATTTTTTTCAGTACTCTTCTTACTCAGCTTCTTGGCAAACTACACTGTGGGTCATTCTCTCTCTGAAAACATCCATGGTCGGGGCTGGGGATTTAGCTCAGCGGCAAAGTGCCTGCCTGGAAAGTGCAAGGTCGTGAGTTCGGTTCCCGGTACCGGAGAAAAACCAAAAAAAAGAAAAAAAAAAAAACCAAAAAAGAAAACATCCATGGTCTGAATCCTTACAGCTTTCCAAAATTCATACACTGAAGTGTAATTACCAGTATGATGATATTAGGAGGGTCTTTCAGATATACTTAAATGACAGAGTTTTCATGAATGGAATTAGTGTCCTTATAAATGACACCCTAGAGAGCCTCCTTCTTCTACTACGTGAGGACAGAGCTCTAATATACCATCTGTGAACCATAAAGTACCCTCACAAAAATACCAAATGAATTGGTATTTGATCAATTAGACTTCCAGAACTGGGACAAATAAATTTTTTTGTTGTTTATAAGCTCCCCAGCTTATGATATAACACACCAGAGAAACAATTTGTGTTTCTTTGACCTCCTTTTACACGTGTGTTCAATTTATTGTACCTAAAGAATATGATCACAAGAATGTGATCATTTACCTAGGAATGTCTCAAGTTTATTCTTCTTTATGGCTGAGCAGTACTCCATAGTATAAAATAAACCCTACATCTTCATAATCCATTTCTCAGTGATGGGGATTTAGGCTTTTTCCAAGATTAAATTATTACAAATTGTGCCATTATAAACATGGTTGTGCATATATTGCTGTGGTATAATGCTTTTAATTCTATCAGGAAGATACCAAGAAGGAGAACTGCTTGGTCAAATGGGACCTTTAGCCGTATTTTTCTGAGGAATCTCCACACTGATTTCCACAGTGGTTACACCAATCGACACTCCCACCAACAGTGGAGAAGCCCCTCCAGCATTTGTTATTGGTTGATTTCTTCATAATACCCATTCCTTCTGGGGTGAGATGGAACCTCAGCGTTGTTTTTATTTGCATCTCTCAAATGACCTGGAGTGCCGAACATTTTTTCGTGTATTTATTTGC